ATGAATAGTGAAGAGTTCACAAGAACTAATATGATCATAATAAAGATAAATATTGTCATATTCCAAATGCATTTCTGTCATGGAATCTCTTATCACTATTACAATTAAAATGCATTTCAAAAATGATTTTTAAAATAGGATAGAAATAAAGCTGTAGTTATGTTTAATTATATTTAACTAAACAACAATTTCTGCTACTCCATACCTTTCACATCTGACTCCTGAATAACCTGGAGCGCATTTATCACAGACAACTTCACCTCTGCTATCCAAATGACAAGTAGGACTGAAACTAAAAATAAACAACTTATGATATAGATTATATAAAGTTAATACATCTAATACATGCATAGTTCATGACTGCCTGATGTAGTAATTAGTGGACAATACAAGCAGCGTGCAATCCTGTATGTGCCTATTCAAAGTCAAGCCACACTCATTACTGTTTCAAATTGTGTTATACCTATGTAAGTATATACACAATTTCATTCTTAGCTACATGCATGTCTATCTGCTTAAAACAACTTTATAGTATCTGAAAGATTCAGTACTTAAGAGAGAGGTTAAAGATTATAGTCTGTCCCCCACCCGAATGATGAATGAATGTTGCTTTTATTTTAATTATATGTTATTTATATATGTCATTGTGTGTCTTCCCGCCCTATCTGTTGTAAGCCACCCTGAGTCCCCCCAGGGAAAAGGGCGGCCTATAAATAAATTTACCATTAAAAAAAAAAAAAACCTTTAAAATCCTTTAAAAGATAAACTCCTCCAGAATGCTTGAAACAATTTACTGGACTGCTACCAATCACTTGGCAAGACTCAGCTTAAATTACTATTATTTTATATAAATAGCAAAATGCTAGCAGTTTTTTTTTAAAAATATGAGCAGCAGCACACAACACTACTGGATTTTAACTTTGAAAAAGCTGAGAAAAACAAAACTTCCCCATTTGGGCCAGCAAGAGCGATCATTTCAGAAGAATGAAGTGGAATTTTTATCTTGACTTTTCTTCTCCCCATTCTTATTCTCCTTCCTCCACTCCCTTGTCCCTTAATGGTCCCGCTTGTCTGAAATTGCTGGAGTTTTCATATATCATTTCCAATAAGCAGTTTACTTGTTAGTAGCACTTCTCAGTGGACAGGCACATGGCTGGCAATCTTCTGTGGTTCCCCTGGAAGGCATTCCGTAGAATCCTGGCAAACACTGCTCACAAGATTGCCCTGTGGTATTATGCTCACAAGCCTATAAACACACAAGAAACCTTTTGATACTTAATTTGGATGGAATTTTATTCCCAGAGGGAGCTCAGTATGAAAAAGCATGTGGATTTAGTATTCAAAGAACAAACACAAAGAAACAGGGATGCCAGTGGCAAAAAGCTTTTGTAAACTCAAATTCTTATGCATGCACCCTTTACCAGAACTGATATGCACATTTGATTTTATAAATTAGTCATGTTACTTTGATGGGGAATGAAAGCAAATTAAATGTATTTTAATTTGGCAATCATACAATTCATTTAGATGTTTTTACTCCATCCTTAAAGAAATAATGCATAACAAAATATTATCTGGAAATAATGTCCACATTATTTAATACTAACTTAATTACCAGTTAGGAGCCACCCAGAAGAGCCACTGTGATGAGATGATCGGCCAAAAAATAAAATAATGTAGTAAAATAAAATGCTCCAGTATTTTTCCATCCAGATCTATAGGAATTTGGCCATTGACTTGAATGGAAAAAATCTGCAGCCTTTTTGGATGGATTTCTTTATAAAATATGTTTTACATTAGTTATAACTAAAGACAGACTTCGAAGGTACTTTAATGTGCACAAAGAATAGGCTTTAAAGGTAGCAGAAATGGTTAGGAATATGTGTATCCCTTCTTGTTTGATGCATGTTTAAAAATTCAACATTTTATATATCAGGAATGGTAGAAACAGGACACAAACTTACAATACAAACACCATGACTATCACACTCAGTTGCATGACCATTGCAATCACACGGCAGGCAAATCCCTCCGAAAAGTATTGCATCCACTCGATAGTACCCAGGAACACAGGACTAAAAATAGTATAAAAAAGGAATTGCAACAAGCATGTTAATTATCATAAATCTGACCTTATGGATTCAGTAATGTGATATTTTGAAAACCCATTAACCCAAATCAAACGATGTTGCCTATAAATAAGACTTTACAATTTTGGATCTATAGGGCTTTTTCAGGAAATTTAAGAAAAGCCTGATTGCAGATCTCTCTCTATGTCTGACAACAATTTCAAAAGTGAGCTAAACTCTCTGAATTCTTTCTTATCAGAAAGAAAATATAAAAGAAAATATTTTCTAAAGATATTAATATCCTTATGTTTCATTAATAAATAATAAATTAATAATGACAGTTTTCACAAGAGAAAGAATAACAATTATTTTAATTTTAGATCTAGCTATGGGAAAATAAAACTCTTAACCAGGTTCCTTAATAATGTAAGAGAGAGGTTATGTTATTCACAAAGTGGAAAATATGTGAAGTTGTTTTAGACAGACAGAATAGGAAATGGTATTTTGGCACTGCATTTTTCAAAACTACAGGTCAAAAGGCAGTTTGTGTGAAGACTAATTGTTGTAAACCTCTAATAAATTTATATAGATTAAGGATGTATTACAAAACCAAATTTGAAGGAAAAAAGGTGACGGTATGCACTTTGGTGCCCATGAAATGCTTTAAAAATCATATTTTCCCCTTTGGGTCATACTGTACTGTCCTAATATGCATGCTAAGTGGCTATGTTAGAGTCAGTTATTAGAATTATCTTAAAAGCCAGTTTGGCGCAGTAGTTAAGGTGCTGCCCTGGAAACTAGAAAACTGTGAGATCTAATCCTAATTTAGGCATGAAACCTGACTGGGTGACTTTGGGTCAGCCATTTCTTCTCAGCCCAACCCACCTCACAGGATTATTGTTTTGAGGAAAATAGAAAGAAGTAGCATTGCTGCTTTGAGTCATATATAAAAATAATAAATGAGGTAAATCAATCAATCAATTTTTGAAAGTCTTATTCGCTGAGGAAAAGGACATCTTTATGATAAATGCTCTACAATTTTGGAATTTCCTGAAAGAAGTAGTGACTGCACATCATTGTACCATTTTGGCAATGCTGGCAAGTAACATTTTATTCTCTAATCTATTTAATCCTGATCATATTTATTAAATATGGACTTTAAACACATTTGTTGGGGCGGGAGGTTGTTTTGGTTTTGCTGCTCAGTGGTTACTGACTGTGCTTGATGATTTTTACTTCTTACCACTTGATTACATGCTGATGTTTTTCAGTTGTATTTCTATATATGGGTTCACTGATATTGATCATGTGACCCCTTTGGAAAACCCATTTTTAAAATTAGGCAATATTATTACATAACAAACAAATAAATAAAATATTGCAATTACTTCACAAGATATTCCAGAGTAACCCTGTGGACATTCACAATATTCTACATGTACAGCTGAAGACAGATCTATGAGATTAGCATTTGCTGTATCCAAAGTCACAGAGTCCAACCTGTAATAACATAAAAACTGGAAATTAATGGTGTAAACAATGTATTGGGTTTTTTTCATTGTGTAAAATAATGCATATCCACAAAATACACAAATATACAGGTAAAACTTTGCATTGTTTCTTGTTCTGAATGCATATTTCCACATAAGATACATTTAGCAATCTATTATACATTCAGCAGTTCTAAATAAAATCCAATTGTAATCAGTATGAGCTTTACAACATTTGTAATACAGCCAGGATCCTGGCAAATATGGGTAATGAATAATACAGGAAACTGCAATTTCAAGTCAAATTATTTGTCTATTATTCTTTTAAATTCCCTACCACTTAATCCTATTTAACTACAAAAAATTGAGAACCTGATATTATCCTATGGAAAATTAGGTCTTTGCCCAAACTTTTGAATATTTTAATAAAGGAGCACATTAAATCCTCTAGAGATTCTTTTGTTATTCTTTTGGTATGGCTTAAGTATAAGCAGAAGGGCAAAAGCTCGCTTGATCTTGATTTTCAGTACGAATACAGACCGTGAAAGCGGGGCCTCACGATCCTTCTGACTTTTTGGGTTATAAGATCTTTATATTACCTATATACAGATTTTTCTGCAGTGTTGTAACTGGCCCTTAGTAGAATATGGGTCACATTAACTAAAACAGTCATCAGGGTGTCACGATCTATTGACTTCTTCGTATTAAAATCAACAAAGTTTTCAGATATAAGATGCACTGTACTGGAATATTCCTCATATGGTTGTAAAGACAGCCCTTCAGATCTTGTAGACAGAATATGTCCATTGCCCTGAAATGACAGGTATTGTTATTTTATACATTTCTAAAGTAAAATTGGAAATCGTTTAAAATTACACTTAATGGAAACCATACTAGGTTCCCAGGATTCCTCTTTTTCCAAAACCCACTCTATCTTTTCCAAACTTTACATTTCTTTAAGAGTGTGTAATATGTTTTGAATCTGAACTGTACTTAATGGAAAACATCAGTTTCAAATGTCATCTCTCTTTATCTATATGTCAATTATATTGGAAGTTCATCAAGATTTGAAAAAAGTTATTTTTCGAGTGCAAAACCTTCCACTTTCTAAAGTCTGCTCAAATGGGGTGTTTGGGATTTAAAATAAAGTATTCTGAACAATCCAAATTCAAAACCTTTTGCACTCCATTAATTTCTTTCAAACCATCTTATACTATTTTCCAGGTATAAAGTAATATTAAGAAATGCCCAGATCATAAATTTAAACACATTTTCATGGAAATAAACCCACTTAGCCATAAAAACCACTTAACATCTTTACTTCCCTATCCAAACCAAGTCTCAATACAACTGGAAGACCTCATGATAGAGAAGACATTCCTGACCTTAAGTCTGATGCACTGAAAGAGTACATAAATATCACCACATTTATATATATATATATATTTAATTTTAAAGAAAATTTTAAAAACCAAAAGTCAAAAGTCTGCATGTTACAGGAGGGTATCTTTTCTCAACTCTCCACTAAAGGACCATCTGCAAAATTCAGAAGACCCTCTAGGAAGCACTTCCAAAGGAACAAGAACTGCTACCAGAAGAAGGAGCTACAGGTAGTCCTTGACTTACAACAGTTCATTTAGTGACTGTTCAAAGTTATAACAGCACCGAAAAAAGTGACATGACTTTTTTCACACTTACGACCTTTGTAGCACCATCATGATCATGTGATCAAAATTCAAAGGACGCTTGGCAACCGGTCCATATTTATGACCGCTGCTGTTTCCCAAGGTCATGTGATCACTTTTTCCTGACCTTCTGACAAACAAAGTCAGTGGGGAAACAGATTCACTTAACAACTGAGTTACTGACTTATCTACTGCGGTGCTTCACTTAACAACTGAGGCAAGCAAAGTTGTAAAATGATGCAAAACTCACAACAGATGTCTCACTTAACAACAGAAATTTTGGGCTCAATTATGGTCCTAAGTCAAGGAGTACCTGTACCAAGTCAGGAACTTTCTCCCCCAAAAGCATTCAGAATACTTTATGCATTAATACTTTGTATTGTTGTCCATTTAATACGATTACCTGGATAATAACATCGACACTAGATACCAAGTCACTATCTGTACTGTCCATGGGAATATCGTATGACACGGTATACTTTAAATAGCCACCAAAGGCAGTGAGCTGAAAGCATAAAATGCAAGAAATCAAAACTATTATTTTTTAATCTTCTTTTTCATTTATAAATATGAAGATGAAATATAAATTTTGCATCCAATGACAGTTTTCACCTTTTTAAGATTTCTTATTAAATTATCTGTAAAAATGCTACATTAGACTCAAAAGAAATAAATCCTAAGAAAAATCTTATTTTTCATATTAACCTTACATTCTAACATCTATGTCTAACTTGACAGTTCTACATTTACTGATTTTTTTTAAATTCTGAACTTCTTTTTAGTTTCACTATCTTTCCATTACATAAAATCATAAACTTTCAAAACCGATTCTTAGTTTTTGAAATAACTGCAGTGCCTAAATGTAATGATTGTTTGGAATATAAATTGGGTCTTGCAACAGTTCTCTGATTATTTCTTAAATCAAATCTTTCCTGTACAATGAGTAAATAATAAAGATATAGACATGGAAAAACAGCTACTATATTTAAATGCACATTCCTTTTTGCATTAAGATGTTTGCATCTTAATTCCAACACCAATATTTCTTGGGGGGGGGAGGCAGAGGTGACATATTCCAGATATAACTTTAATGATCCTAATATGGTAGGATTCCTAGGAAAAGATACCATATGCATTTTTAAACATTACATTATATACATAATAAAGTGAATATGCAACACATAAAACTTTATACATACACAGAACACTTAAAAAAGACACATTTCCTCCAGACTACTTACCTTATTTCCAAGGTATGATTTAGGTGCAGACCAGTAATAAGGAGGGTTTAGTACTTTTGCAACCTCAGTGTCATTAATACTTATTTGATGAGATTTATCAAACTGATCTTCTTGGGGTTTCATAGTTTTTGAAGAATATGGAATTGTCATCTCCCACCCAGTCATAGAAGACACCTTAATAAAACAGAAACATGATCAAGCATTTAAGTAATCAAGAAACAGAGAGAAAGGGTGTGATTGTGTGTGTGTGTGTGTGTGTGTTGCTTTAGCAAAGCTCTATTTTTATTTGGCCCACCATATGATATTATGTTATGGCAGAGTAATCCAAGCAAAATAGAAACCACAGGATATATTTTTTTCCACAATGAAAGCATTAAAATGCTTTATATAGGAATGTGATTTCAGAATAGCTGTTTATGAGGCAGTACAAAGACTTCGTGTGGCTTTCCCAGGTCATGTGTAGTATGTCATGCACAGATTTTTTTTAAAAATGTATTTTATTTCATCAAGTATGAATTAGATAACAGATATAAGTATAAACATGAATATGAATATGAATACATGAAATGAATACGAATACAAGAGAATATTAGGACAGGGATGCTTATGTACACCCCTTATAGACCTCTTAGGAATGGGGTGAGGTCAACAGTAGACAGCCTAAGGTTAAAGGTTTGAAGAAGCTGTCCATCAGATTGCCATTATGTGATGTTTCATAGCGTTTTTCCCATTTGCAGAGCTGGGTGAGGGTGGCCTGCGTGTAATGAATCTGGCCTCTGGGCTGCCAGTTTGACACCCCTGTACTAGAGATAACCTAGGAAGGTTTGGACACATCTTCCGAAGATGCCTCATACTTTTATAGGTTTATACATTTAAATCAATTCATAGTAATATATGAAAGTAGCAGCATATATGTAAGTTAGCAATTATACCCATACAAAATATATAAGCTACTGTGTATATGTGTATGTGTGTGTGTGTGTGTATGTATGTATGTATGTATGTATATACACACACATATATATACACATACATACATACATGTGTGTGTGTGTGTGTTACCAAGCATTTATGTTACCAATTACACCTGTAGAAAATGAACAATTTTCAGATCTTACTAGAATAGCAGCATGAACAATATTATTGCAATTCTCACTTGCAAAACTAAACATTTTAAATTCCTAATACTTAAAATTCTAGCATCTCTTTTATTTTAACTGTTAGTGCTTGGTTTTCAACAGGGAAATTGCATGCAAACCTGTAACTGATCAGTATTTTCAAATATTATAATATATCTTTAGATAATTTGCTGCTTTCTATAATTTAAACACATATAAAATAGAAGTATGAATTATGTTTTTCTCATTTGAGATCCAATCTTTTATGTTTATCATATTCTATTTCTTAGATACACTTTGGTTTTTTAGTTTGACCCTAAATTCCAGCCTCTTACATCTAAGTTTTTATTACGTGAAATAGTTAACAGAGTAAAAGCATTTATGGAAATTAATGTGAGAAGGAATGCCTGCCAAGCAAAATTAACACAAGAAGGGTGTTTATGTTTGAGGAAAATAAATGAAATACTAATTGTAGAATATTACTCATAGTATACCTTAGTAGCGGACCAAGGAAGACTTTCACACACATCAGAAACACCAAAACAGAAGCATTCCGTGCAACCCTGTGGGTTTCTTTCTTGGAGATTATAGAATCCAGATTTGCAACGGTCACAATTTTCTCCTTCTACATTTTCCTATGAACATAATCAGAACCAGCATACAATAAAACGGACTTAGCAATTTTACCTTAACATCTTCTAGGATTTTCTTCTGAAATAAAGTATTGAACAGAAATTTTTCACTACTTATATATTATGTGTCAAAAAGTACTTGTATTTTATACTAAGAATATCATATGACAAGCAAAGATACCAATTATCATGCTGGCTATGAATACTGAGGCCACAGGCTCCACATAACTGATTTAATGTCTGGTTCAAAAAAGTCAGTCTACTTCATGTTCGCAAAAATGTCAAATTTTGCCCTTATCGGTTTTTTGTTTGAATTTCATTAAATCCGTTTTTATTTTGGCACTTACAAGCTAGATATTGAGCCTATGCTAGATAAATGAAGTTTTTTGAAGCTTATAAAATCATATTAGAACATCAACTTCATTATACATAGAAGACTTTTGCTCGTCAGTAAATAATGTGTGGGTGAATGTGAATGGTTTTTTAAAAAAATCAACTAATGTATTCACAAACATCCCTCCTACAATATCTGAATTTGGAATTGCTTTTTCCAAACCAAGATTTACTCACAGTCTCTGATACATAATTTTGCCAATGTAAAATGTATGATATACCTGCATCATGAATCTTAGTTTAAATCCCCATCTAAGAGATTTTTGCTTAAATTCCACTTGTTAGATATAGGATTGCTATTAAGAGAGAAATTTCCCAAAATAAATAAACGGACAAGTTTCCACTTTAAAGTGTATTATTATTAAAATTTTAGTACAGTGATACTTAGGTATCCATCATTAATTAGTTCCAGGAGGTGGATAAGTACAAAAAATGATGAGTACCATACAAATTTTTCACATAAGGAATAAGTCACAAGACAGCCAACACCCATAAGTTCAAAGCTTATACATTGAATACCAAACAAATGATGAGTGCAAGGACAATTTTTTGACATAAAATACATTTAGTACCAAATTTGATGTGTTTCAAAGCAGTTGAGTATCAAGGTACCACTGTATAGTTAGTCAAAGTAAAAATCAAAGCTGTACTTACTTTGCAAAGGCAAGGTTCAGTACATGGATCGTCATTTATGCTGCCAACGAGGCTACAATTACAGCGTATGCAATTTGGATAACCTTTGTAGCCAAAGGCACAATAGTCACATTTTTTTCCAGCATACCCTTCCTTGCAATGACATTGACCTGGATGAATACCTTGAAAAAAATAAAGCAAATACAAGAAAGTTGCTTATTCGTTATATAAATACTAATAAGATCCAAAGAAATTTAATTTAATGTTATGTTTGGTTGTTTCTTACACACCCAAAACCTGATTTTGTAAATATTGCCTAGACCATTATCTCTTACCTCTTTGGGGGTCAGCATGATTATTATCCTTAACACAGTCAAAGCCAAAGGACCCAAATAAATCACACTCACATGGACGGCAAGGATGGTTGTCGTAAGGAGACACCTGGAATATTTTAATTTTTATTAATTGTTTGATGCTACTGAAAATGAATTCTTGCTCCTGTTTAGGAGTATATATGAAGACATACATCTCAACTGGCAAGGATGGTTAATTATTTCATGGGATGAGTGTAAGGCAAAAACTAGATAAATGCAAGCATAAATGAGGTAATGTTGAAACCAGCCATTATGGCACCGGGAAACACTCTGTATGTTACAAAAATGAACACAGATTTATTTCTAAAAACATGAGCATTTGTACAACCTTGAGTATGACTCTGTGGGGAAAAAACGCCATATAGGGAAACTGGCATAGATGAGGCTATAACACAGCCAAAGATTTCATGGGGTTGGAGTTGTTTCTTAAATTGAGAAGTTGCTACTACTTTAAGGTGACCAGATTTTCAGATTGGTAAAGATGGACACCATTGACCGGGGGGCACGGTTGATTAAAAATTTTATATTTTGTCAAAAGGTCACATGACCCCAGGAGACTGAAACCATCATAAATAAGAATCTGTTGCCAAACATCAAAATTTTGATCACGTGACCATGAGGATGCTGCAACAGTCACTAAGTGTGAAAAATGGTCACTAAGTGTGAAAAATGGTCATCAGTCACTTTTTTCAGTGCCATTGTAACTTTGGTCACAAAATGAACTGTTTGAAAGCTAAGGCTAGCTTGCATTATAATGCCTTATGCTAGCTTACATTTTCAAGAGAGAGAAGCTAAATTCCTAAACACACAAGGAATTTGTCTTTGGTGAATATGTTCTCAGTGTACATAAAGAAAAATAAAATAGAATACATTCATCAAGAATCATAAGCTACAACACTTAGTGATAGTCACTAAAGCCTGGAGGATTG